CATCACGCAGGGGGGCGCCGAAGGGGCAGCCTGCCAATTTCCGAATTTGATTTCCATCTGCTTCACGAGGCAGCTTATTTCGTCAGTCACCAGCCATAGAGAGAGAGAGAGAGAGAGAGAGACCGACAGAGCAGCAGCCTCTCTGACCCCCTCACCTACCCCGTCTCTACACAGCCAGCAGGCGGACGGCCACGCAACCCCCACCCCTTCCCACTTCCCGCGCACACCCCTCTCTCCACGTCAAATAGCCTTTCACCACCCCCTGTGTATGTGGTGTGAGTCTGTGTGTGTGTGTCAGAGAGAGAGAGAGAGAGAGAGAGAGAGAGAGAGAGAGAGAGACCGACCGACCAGGGACCCTTGCAAAGCCCGCACCACTACAGGGAGGGGTCGCACTACTCCTGCTATGTTGCACATACATAACGTGCATACTATACAGAAAAATTCACGTTTACCCCGTATCTTGCTTTTACATTTGAAAATAAAGGGGGAATTTTCATTTAACATCGCAAGCAGGTGCATTGTGCTCTAAATTGAGCAAGCTCTATTCTGCGTTTTTTTTATCAAGCAACGAATTGAATTTAAAAACATACTGTACGTTGAATACTTTGATTTGGCGTGTGCAGCAGTGTGGTCACTAACTAGACACACCGCCACTCTGGCGGGCTCAGCCTTCGGCCAAACAGTTTCCCTCGCGCTGCTCGTTATCTTTGTGCCGCTAGTTGGGCCCGCGCCGCCGCGCCTGTTTCTGTGTGTTAAGTTTTCTAAGTGCTTAATTAATTCCTTCCCGCGCTTTGCCTCGCCGCGCCTCCCGCGACCCGCGCCACCCACCCCCATTTCTCGAAACCATTATCACGTTCACAATAACGTCTCTCCCAAAAATTACAGAAAACAGTCGAGCCGCAAGCAAATAATGTGCGCGACAGATAAACTCGAGGAAATGTTGCAAAGCTTGTGTTTTTCTTTCCGTCCATTCCGTTCTTGGTACTTTTTAATTTGTACATATTAACAAACATTTATCTAAGCTGCATGCCTTTTGAATGAAGTTTCGCGTTAATCCATTGCTATATAGCAATTACATTTTTTCTAATGTGCTACCAAAATGTAAACAAATAGTTACACAATCTACGCAAAACAACCAAAATCCGATGCATTTCATTAAGATGAGAAGACAGGAAACAATTTTTCATTAACTACAGGTGACTATAATGATGACTGAGACACATACGATGATCAGGGAGTCTCCAAAAGAATACTCTCGTGGACTAGAATATTAATGCAGCACCAATTTGCCAAATGTTAGAGTGCCAGTGAGCTGGCGCGTTCCGCTCCGCACCGCGGGCGCGTGGTGCGGTCTGGCGGCGCCTCCCCCTGCGGCGCCCGCCAGCCGCCGCTCAGGATTTGCGCTGCGCGAGGCGCGGGACAGCTCACATTGCCGCGAAACTAAAGCGCAAAAATAAACATGCGCAGAGAGGGCCTAGAAACGGTTCGAAACACTTCCGTGATATGACATATATACGACGGATATTAAAGACACAAAATCTAAAAGCGAACAGAAAATTTCAGTATCGTTCATCTTCTTTTTATTTGTTGCAAACAATGCTGTTCCAAGTACAATAATTAAGTGAACGTATATTTAAAGAGTTTCATCAATGACGTATTTGCATAATACAAAGGAGCTAAATCTCAACGTTATCGAAAGGGCAGAGACGCAATTTTACATAGTTTCATTGAAGTTATGAAAAACACGTTTGTTATATGTCCATTCGGTAACAAATTTAGATAACTTAAATCTGAAACACACCCCGGCACTTCCAGACGTTCTCTGAAAATCAGTACCGTGTGATTTTCTGGTTCCGATTGAGAGAAATGCATAGAAATACAAGAGCGCCGTCCCAATCACCATCCGACTTGGTTGGCGCGGCGATTTAAACGCACATCGAAGCCAAGGCGTTGACGGGTGCGACGAGGTGGAAGTGACGGAAACGAGAGCGACGCGCAGCGGCCAGGAGCCGGACTGTGAGCACATTATGCAAATGAGGGAAGTGAGAGACCCTATCGCTCGCTCAAAGAACACTGACCCCCGTCCGCCCCCGTCCATACTGACTAGGCGGCAACTAACTCTTCATAAAGTGTCTTCGAAACTAAGAAGCCTGTCACTCATGACAGACTCGGAATCATTATAGAGCCAGGTAAACCTAAGCAAACGGTTGGCATGTGCATCAATAACGAAGAATAACGTTATACCTCGGCATGCAAATTAACGATTTAAACATGCGGTTCGGGATGAGGGGTTGTTTGAGATGCTTGTTTCAGGCGTGTTGGATGCGTGCTGTCACACTGGCAGGTGCACCGCAGCCTGTCGCTCACCTGGGGGCGCCTGCTCGAGTCCCGCTCGGTGGTGCAGCCCCATGGAGTTGGCGGCCATGGTCCCGTGGGCCATGTTGATGTTGTGGGGGAGGAAGGCGGCGGCCACCGCGGCCTGCGCGTTCAGGTAGGCCATCCTGGACATGTGGCCGGCGACAGACATGTGGTGGTGGGCGGCGTGCGCCATGTGCGAGGGGAAGGAGCTCGGGGGCGCGGGGCCGTGCGGGCCGTGGGGCGGCCCGTGTCCTGGGCCCCTGAGCGGCGCCCCGGGCCCGCCGGGGGTCACGGGCGACACGGCCCCGGCGCCCGACGGGCTCCTCGGCGGGCCCTCCGGGTCCGAGAGCCCCAGCAGCTCCTGGATGGCGAACGGCGACCGTTGCGGCATGCTGCTCGGCGGCCCCAGGCCCGGCCCCAGCCCGTGCGGGCCGTGCGGCCCGAGGCCGGGCGGCCCCAGCGGCGCCCCCAGCCCGGGCCTCGGCGCCAGCCCCAGCACGTGCACGCCGACGCCGCGGCCGCTCGGCGCGCTCAGCGTCTTCATGTCATCCTCATGGTTGCTCTCACTGTAAACACCACGGCGGCACTGCACTCACTTGCTCTCACTCACTCTCTCGCTCACTCTCACAGCACGCGCGCAAGTCGGCGGGAGCGTGGCGCGCGGCGGGGCGCAGCGTGGCGCAGCAGCCCGGCGTGCGTTCTCTCTCGGGGTTGTCGACGGACTAACAGAGCGCTCCGCCGGCCCGCCCCGCC